GTTAGCAGTCAAGTGCTTTAGCCACTATGCTACCAGAACTCCTAGGAGCCATAGAAGTTATGAAAAAAATGTCTAAACAAAGGCATGCCAAGCTAGAGGCTTCTCCTCCTCAAAGTACGGTCCTGTCTAGGTCCCTTCTTCAGGCCAACCTCTGCTGAGACCTTAAGAGGAATCATTCCTTTTCCTCTGATCCCTGTAGGAAGAAACAAGAGGCACTACTTTTTGTCCTATGGAATCAACCTTAGGACAGAGCAGGGCCCTGCTCCAGCTTCCTATTGCCTAAGTCCCCCCCGGGGAGATCACTGTGGAATGGAAGGATGACCACATCAGCAATCTCTTTGCTTGCCCTAGTCACATAACCCACTGAAATTCTATACACAGAACCTGGAAAGGACTGGATTACAGAACTCTGGGACTCTGAGCCAAAGGACTGACAAACTGGCTGAGATCCCAATGGAGCTCTCCTTCAGAGGGGCTGGAGCAGAGGTCTCTTCTCATTTTGGATTACTCAGTCTTATCCTCTGGAAGCAAACCTTCAACATGGCAGCAACTTCTTGAGGTAGTAGAACTCTATTAAGGCCTGGCCCAACCTAAAGTGCAGCATCAGCAGAATGATGCTCTGACAATTAGGAGAGGGATGGTGGGGATGAGGCAGGCGGACTACGCAATGCTCTGGGGTCTCTGGGTTCAGGTTGAACAAGTCCAGCTGGCCAGAAGCTAAGTGATGATGGCACAGCCTTCCTGCCTCTCACATCACAATGTCAGTTCCACTTTCTCCCACCCTCATCCACCTCCCATCATATGTTGTCAATTCTGCCTGCAAAGTGAGTAGCTGAATATAACTTATGGGGCCTCCTTCACCAAAGTACCTGTGTTTGTTAACGGAACACTCTATAAGGCCCAGAGGCATGAATCTAAAGCTGTGTAAGACATTCTAAAGCAGAATCCTCCCCATGGCACCCCATTCTCAAAGCACTCCATATACATGCAACTGCCAGAGCCATCTACCTTCTTAAGCTCAATTTCCCCAGCTACAAAAATGAACGGCAAAATCAGGTCATTTTCTAGATCCCTTCCAATGAGGTTTTAGCTTCTTGAGATTCCATGGCCTCCCCTTCTGAGAGCACAAAGCCCGCCAGCCCTTGTTAGAGGCAGCTACTCTGTGGTTTGGCACCATTGCCCAGCAGGCATTTACTAAAGCAGTAGGATGTTGTCCCTGCTGGCCTGGAAAGAGAACACTAAGCTCCAAAAACTTCCTGCAGCAGCTTCCTCTGGAAAGTGCTTCTCAGAGGGGTGAGGAACAAAACCATGCAGGTCCCTGGCTGTGCTCCAAGATCCTGTTCACTAGTACTTTTGCCCTGTCTGCACGGAGAACCAGTGACTGAAAACATCTGGAAGTCTGCTTAAGACCTGGGCAACTTTTCTCTCCTTCCTCTGGGGATGGCTATTCTTGACCCTGGTAATCCTGCTTGACCTTTACCAATGCCCCTTTCCATACAATCTTCTGTAGTTCATTCTGTAACAACCCTCTAATAAAATCCACATGAAGCCAACTGCTAACAGCTCCTGGAAGATCTGCAAGATCTAACACCTGCCCCTGCATTCCTTGAGCTCTAGCAGCAAGGGAAAAGAGGGCCGAGACCCAACTCTTGTGCCTGTGGATCTTACAGTTGAGTTGTGGAGAGAGGGAGTGAGTGGGAAAAGATTAGGATTTGCTGAAGGTGGGGAAGGCAGCTGCAGGCAAGGAATCCACAGGAGTACGGACATGGCTGTTGGGTGGCCCAGGCAGAACCCCCTAGGCCTGGGCCTGCCTCATTCCCAGTGACCTCAGTCATGCTGACAAAGGCCCACTCCATTTTTCCTTGAATAATTAATTAGAAACTCAAGGAACTTTGGTCTCCCCAGGTCACAGAGGGGAGAGGAGGGACAGGCAACCTTAGACTGCTAGGTAGGTGACACATGCACTCTAGCTTCTCAGCCCAGCTTGCCCCTCTTCTCCCCTCGGTGACCTAGGGAGACCAAAGTTCCTTGAATGCCTAATTAATTATTCAAGAAAAGATTAACTGAGTATGTACAACATGCTCCGAATGTGCCTGGTGCTGGGGAGAGATGCTTTAATAAGTAGAGCAGACCTGATTGCGGTCCATTAGTTCTACTCACTTGGAAATCTTGTCTGACTGCAGAGCACAGTCTTGAAGACACTTGTGAGGCGGGGTGAGAGTGTTTGGGATTCCAGGGGCACGAACAGCTGAAGAGCCACACTGGCAGTCTTGGGTCTCTACCATTTTTGGACTCTCTAGCTCTCCTAACTTCTTTAGGGTATAGTGTATAGGCAAAGGACTCCATCCGGCTAAACTAAGAGCTCAGACTCACTTTAGCTTTCTCTTCTCTGACAAGGGCAAAAGTCCAAGAAATAAACAAACACAATAGGTGACAGGGAAAGATAAGCTACTTGAAGTTTAGAATAAAGATGCATTTATTTGGCTTTTTTTTTTAAAAAAAAAAAAAAACTCCTCCTTTGCTTTCTTTTCTACCCAACTGAGATATTTGTTTGCTCTCATCTGAAAGTCCTGAGCTGATCTCATTAACATATCTGTTCTTTGCTGTAATGAGCCAAAGACCAGTACAACATTCCCCAGTGCTGGAGGGTAGAGAAGGCCCTCAAGGATCCTATCAAGGCTGATCCAGGGGAAGCAAAATCACTGCTCCTGTCAGCTCAGGCTGCTGTGGAGCAGAGAAACTGGTGTCCCTCTTGGAGTGCTGCCTTCATCTCCTTGAACTGAGCCAACTGGCAGGCTTCATCTAGCCCCAGCCAGCGGTAGGCTTGGTGCTCGTGGGAGAGGCGGATCTCCACGTCATAGTCCTTCACCTCCGCCAGCCAGTAGATGACTGTTTTAGGCTTCTGCCTGGCCACATAATTGAGCTCCCTTCTGAACCCCTCAATGATGGTCAGCTGGCCTGCTTCTATGCCTGCTTCCTCCCGAGTCTCCCTCAGGGCTGTTTCCAATTCATTCTCTCCTGGATCCACATGGCCTGGTTAGGGGAGAAGAAGAAGAGGAGACAATCTTCAATAGCTGCAAAAACTGTATTTTCCAAGTCAGATGATTTAAAGATGGGGTCTTCAGTGACTTTTCTAGGTGTTCCTAACGGAAGCTTGGAGGTTGACCATATCCAAAAATGCCTGGGAAGAGGGTTCAGGGCAGGTCTGCCTGGCTCTGTGGGGCTGTGCAATCCCTTTTCCCCACCCCCATCTTTTCTGCAGAGAGTGAAATAGACCATGCGTTTGGCAAATCTGATTTACAATACTGCACTATGATGGCGAGAGAGGTGACCTCCCCCAGATCTCAGCTTTCTTGTTCTCTGGTTCTCTGGAGCTCTCTTCATCATATGTTCTCATGGACTACTTTTTCCTTGGAGCCTTCAAAGTGATTTTCCCAAGGAGAAGGAGTCCCTTCTTGGCAGGTAGAAAGCAAACTGAAGAGGGAGTACTTTGCCTATAATCCACAGTGAGGACTTAACACTGTCTGCAGTTAGACCCAGAAGTCCTGGGGCCAGCAGACAGGCTCAAAGCCCTGCACGGCTGCACCAGCAGCTGTTTCCAAGTAGCTATCAAGCCTTTTTCCATATTGTTTTCATCTTTCTAACTGAGCATGGGCAGATTTCAGCTTCATAGGGAAAGTTCTGATGGGAACTTAGACTAAGGACAAGCTGAGAGCCAGTTCTAAGAAAATTTATTGGCAAGACCTGAACCCAGGCAGAGAGCTGCCAAGTAACTGTTGTAAGAGAACTTGAAACTTTGCAGACTGGGAGCAGCCCTCTCCTTTGCCTCTAGGCCCTCCCCACAAATTCTCAGCTTCTCCAGGGGGGCTAAGGACTGGGATGGATCTAGCTAGATCAGGCCATATTCCCCTGCAAATACAGTTTCCTCAGGAAGAGCTGCATCCCAGTTCATCTGCAGCCTCTGTCTACACATGGCCCCAGAAGTTCTCATGGGATGCTCTTAGTTGTTCACTTCTTGGTGTGGAGATGAGGCTATATACCTAGTCCTCTTCCTTCCCAGGGGTCCTGATAGCAGTGTTCTGAGTCAGCTGCTTCTGTACAGCTCCCAGGAGCTTAGCACTGAAAATTCATTCTAGCTCATGGTTTCTGGGAAATTTTCTTTGCATGGCACCTTGAATAGTGATGGACATAAAGATAGGTAGGCAATGCATTAGATGAAGGAAAGTGGGAGGCATGCTCTTGGTGACAGATGTGACACTGACCCAGGATGCCCCACATCTCCACAGAGGTGTGTGGGAGTCTCTGAGCACAACCCCTACTCAGTAGCATCTATTAAATATTCTCCCCTTCCATGTTAACAGGGTAATTTCTCCCCAGGGATAAGCAGCAAAGGATTAGGAGGGGTCCTTTGACATCTTTCAGTGAATGTCAGCATGCAATGTGACTTAGGTGATCAGAAGACAAGTGTGAATATTCCTATTCATAGTATTTGTTACACTTCTATCACTTTTTTTCACCTTGTTTCTTCCTAATGCAATTAAAATATCCAAAAGGTGTTTATTTACTGTTCCCATTTCCTTATTTTCCTCCAACCCTGGATCCTTGCCCATCCTTATCCCTGAACACACTCCCATTTAATTTAAAGTCCCTGTTCCCTTCGGCCTGGGGGCTGATCACTCTGGATGCCTCGTCCCAATAGGTGCTAGAACCATAGTCTGTCAGTGACCACTGGGACCATTCCAGTAGCCTCAGCCAAAGGCAGCTCCTTTTTTTTTTTTTTTTTTTTCCATTTCTCCCTACACAGCCTGACTTCTCTTTTAGGATCATCCAACCACAGCTGGAGTCAGAAACACTGACTGATGAAACCAGTCAACTTACAAATAGAGCCAACCACCTGGCTTCATACCTTTGGGAGGAGTCCAGTGATGAATGCCATCTGATGCCTGTAGCAGTAGAAACTCAATTGAACTGTTGTCTACCTTGGGAATGAGACGTCTTCGGAAGATGATCAAGCCACATGCTTTCAGGGCCATGATCGATCTAGGACTTAAAAAAGAAAATGTGGGACATTGGGAAGTTACACAGAACAAGAAGATCCATACTTGGGGGCAGCACCCTGGTGCTGGGGAATAGCACATATTAGTTAACAGTGACCTGATCATATACTGAAATAGGCAGCATGCCAAGGACCAATGGGGGAAACCAGGAATCAGAGTTGGACCTTTATGTGTAATTGTAGGGCCTTGGCCTCTACCCTCAGTCAATGTGGCCTCCATCCCAACTTTACCAGGTCTTTCTACTGAGACACAGGGCTAGTGTATGTTTGCTAAGGGACTGGAGGTCTTCAGAAGCAAAGCCAGTGAAACAGGACAGCCTTGTCTACAGGGTTCCAGAGCCAAAGAAAGAGCTGGTGCTGAGGGATAGCGGAGCTGATACAGAGATGGCTCTTTGAGTAGGAGCTGTTGCTCTCCACAGGCCCCATGTTGGCACTCAATCATGATAAACTTGCTTCTGTCAGTCAGAAAAATCAGGCCCAAAGTGAAACCTGATCCAGGGCAATTCTCAAGACTGCCAACAGAGGGCAATGTTACTCTAGGGAACAGCACCTTCCTCACTAGGAAAGGAAGAAGCCTTCCTCATCAAAAATACCAAACACATCCAATATCGTGACCTTTCCAAAGTTCTAAACCTGGTAATAGAGTTTTTAAGGATTTCATCTCAAAGAAGGTTTTCAAAACGGTTTGTGGGTCTGTGATCTCATACACTGCTAGTGGGAGAGTAAATTAGCATATCCTCTTAGGATGGAGGTTGGTTTGGTAATAATAGCTCTCAAAATGCAAATTCCCTCAGACCCAGCAATTCAACTTCCAGGCACTTCCACATACAGAAATATATGTTTAAAATATACACACAAGAATGTTCACTAAACCTGATTTGCAGTATCAAAAATAAAAGGGAAAAAAATCCATTAATAGGGAAATGGTGAAATATATATCTATATGATGCAATATCATGAAGCCATTAAAAAAATGTACAGAGCAAAATATGCTGCTTGTAAGATTTCACCTATTAAGTGGAAAAAGCATGATTCAGAATAGCTATGTATAATTAGATCCTATCTGAGTTATAGACAGATAGATAGATGGTATATATATATATATATAAGTCATGGCAAGCTTTTATTAACTTCTTCTTGTTGTTGTTATGTGCCGTCAAGTCGGACCCGACTCATAGCAACCCCTCCTTGGGTTTCCGAGGCAGTATCACTACGGAAGTAGATTGCCCCATCTT